TGTCAAGGGAGGCTCCAGCAGCCAGAAAAATACCTCAGGTAAGGAAGTGCAGGTGCTGGTGGTGGCAGTGGGACTAGCATGCCCTGAGTCCATAAGAGCACAGCCATATGGGCAGAGCAATTAGTGCCCCAGACAGGGTTCACCCAACCTCATTCAGGACTGAATCAAGAAGAGCAATAATTATAAATGTTGCTTCCACAGTGTCTCCAAATCACTTAATGTCTGTAGAGTCTTAACACGTCATTGTGAGCCCTATATTATTAAATCTGGCTTAAATATGTGGAGACTCAATTCTTCAAGAAGTTAGTTGCCTTCCCCAAAGTCACAAAACTACAAAGTGATGGCATCAAAACTGTGGCTCAAATCTGACTTTGCATTCAGGGCTCTTTATACTATATTTATATTGTATTATACAGACAGTGTCAAAATTAGAATGGTTTGACTTATGAGTTTTCAACTTCATGATGGTGCAAAACTGATACACATGTATTGTACTTGAATTTTGATTTCTGCTCTTTCCCAGGCTAGCAATATGGGGTAGTATACTCACTCCTGATGCTGGGTAATGGCAGCGAGCCACAGCTCCCAGTCAGCCATGTAATTACAAAGGCAACCAACTGGCACTCTACTGTGCACTGTGTTGCCAGATGATTTGCCCAACTGCAGGCTAATGTAAGTGTTCTGAGCACATTTAAGGTAGGCTAAGCTAAGCTATGCTATAATGTCTGGTGGGTTAGATGTATTTAACGCATTTTTGACTTAGGATATTTTTAATTTATGTTGGCTTTTTTTAGGGTTAGGGAATTATTTATTTATTTATTTATTTATTTACTTTGGGGGGGTTAGGGTTAGAGTTAGGGTTATTTATGATGGCTTTATCAGGGTTCAACCCCATCCTAAGTCAGGGAGATCTGTATTCTCTCCGTGTTAAACTCAAATGGAAGGTAAACCAGAGCTTTCTGCCCTTCACTAAAATCTAAATATGGAAAAGGACAGAGTGTTATTCCTGACTCCCAGGCATGTGCTGTGATTACTCGAGGTGCATGGAGAACATGGCCATGCTGCTCAGAATGGTTCAATCTCAATGATGATTGCTTTGCCACTTCTTAGTACTACATCCTTTTACATTTCTGAGTTCTTTGAGAGAAGTATTTAATTTTAGTTTACATTTTAGATAGAAAGGAAAGCAAAAAGCCTGTGAAACTGAGACCTAGGGAACATTACACATGAAGCTATTTATCAGTGTATTTCTGGGAGACATTGGGCAGGGTAGACGGAGACAATAAACGGTAAGTGGAGGTTGGGTACTGGGGTTGTAGAATTGAATTTGGAGCAAGAAGACACCACAATGTGGCTTCCATTGGTACTTCTGCTCTCTCTTGACCACCCAGAGCTATGTCCCAGAGAGTCCATTTGGGCCGCCATGCCCCTTGCAAACACTCCTTCAAACATATCTGTCTATTTCCTCCAGAGATGTTGCTTTCTGTGTGATAACTGGAACATCAACCCATGTGCTTCACCCACTGCTTAGGAGGTCTCCCTTCCCAAGACATTCATTATCCTTACCTGATACCTTCTAGAGATACAGAGGCTTGCACCAAAGGGGGAGCTGAGGAGGACATGAGGTGCAGGAGAGAGTTCTCTTGAGCTCTCTGGGGTCAGGCAACCTTTTGGTATCTCTGCAATCAAATCATCTTTCAGGCTATAGCTACTATTGCATAAAGCTACATAATCTTCTATCCCAAGATTCTCACAACATTCCAAATCTTGAATAACCATCTTCTCTCTCTCTCTCTGTATATATATATAAGTGAGTATAGATATGTATGTGTATGTACATTCATATATATGTATATATATATATATATATTTATAATTTCAATAATGTTTGGGGTACAAGTGGTGTTTTGTTACATGGATGAATTATGCAATGGTAAATTCTGAGATTTTTGTGCACCCACCAACCAGGTAGGGTACATTGTACCTAATGTGTCATTTTTTTTATCCCTGGCCTCCCTCCTACGCTCCCTCTTCTGAGTCTCTAAAGTCCATTATATCACTCCATACGCCTTTTTATATTCACAGTTTAGCTCCCACTTATAACTGTATGGGAACATACAGTTTTTGGTCTTCCACTCCTATGTTATTTCACTTAGAATTAAGGCCTGTAGCTCCATCCAAGTTGCTGCAAAAGACATTATTTTATTCCTTTTAGTGGCTGAGTAGTATTTCGTGGTGTACCTAGACCACAGTTTCTTCCTCCACTGATTAGTTGATGGGCACTTAGGTTGGTTCTGTAAATTAGTACTGTGCTATTTTCATAAAGGTGATTTGTTTTATCTATAGTCATGGGTTGCTATTTATACTTTTGTAAGTCTTTTGATGAAAGCAATTACACATTAGAACAGATTCTTTAACCAGACCATATCTTACTTTGTATTTAGAACAGATTCTTTAACCAGACCATATCTTACTTTGTATTTAGAACATTCTTTAACCAGACCATATATTAATTTATATTTATAGAATGTCATTTCAGATACACAGATCCACACACCTGGACATTCTTCTGTGCTCATCCTTTGCTCTTAACAAAATGACCCAGATTTCCTGCAGCTCACATGTGACTGAAACCATGAGAGTCTGGCAGGGTAGAAAGAAGCCAGACCTGCTGTAAATCTGGGATATGGACCACCAGAAGGCTAGCATTACAGTTTATAGTTGTTGAACTGGCAAAATGCATAGTGTTTCTTCTGTACATTCAACAATGTCTAACTACTGAGCGTAGAATGGATGTGTAATCCATATGTTTCCTCAGTGCCACGAGTCAGGAAGGAAAAAAAGGAGGAGGGGTGAGGGGGAAGGGAGAGAAACAAGGTCAGAGAGAGAAGAGAGTCCTGTTTCCTATGGCAGTTTTCACACAACAATTTAACACAGATACGTCCCACCTGTCTTCTGCAGCCTCATTTTTTTTAAAAACTCCTCTTATGTTCTCTTTCTAGAAGTTTGACTGAAGTGGAAAGAACGGCAGCTCCACATCATGACTGTCAACTGAGCATCTCAGCTGAGCCATGGGGCAGGTGAACTGGAAGTGTCTTTCCTAGTGGGTGAGACAGGCTTCTCATTTTTTAGTTTTCTCCTGCTGCTGTGATTGAATCTGTGAGTTTGTTTCTTTTAGGCTATACCTTCTCTGGGTAATGGAGGGAGATTTCCTGAAAAAGAATTTGCCCATGCAATTTCCAGAGTAACAAGAGGCTTAGGGGGAAAAAAAATCTGTTTAAAATGATGCACTTTTCAATTATCATGTGTCTTGTATACTGCTAATGGTACTGCTTGTCAATTATTATTAATGAGGATAATTTTAATAACAGTCAGATTAATCTGTGATGTCTCTTAACCAACTATTAATAAACACACCATAGGTCTTCCCTTTTTCTCTTGATGGCACAGTCTTGGTGATTCTTGTAAATGTGAAGCTGCTTCTGGGCCAACGCAACAAATCAGTGTATTGGGGACAGGTGGTGAAGCCAGGTGGGAAGACAGCCGTCTTCCTCAATGAACAGGCACCAGCCTCCTTGTAATTCTTTTCCTGTCACTAGAGGACTCAGGACACATATGTGCCTTTCAGAACAGGTCAGGAAGAAAAGGGAGAAGCAGCAGCAAGGAGTTTTCCCCAGAGAAACAGGACTGATGATGTCCGCGGCAGGGAGGCAGCACACGGGCTTGGTTTCCATATTCCTAAAATCCCAGATACATCCATGAGTAGGGAGACAATAGTGGGTTTCTAGGGAAGATGGAGACATGATGCCAGTTAATGTCCAACATAAGACATTAAAAAATAGAAATAGTGCCTCTCCCTTATTCTCTTGGTCATAAAATTACCAGAAGCTGAAGTCGTGAGAATGGCTGGGAAGCTGGGGGAAAGCATAGGTGTGACCAGGCAGGACCCATGGCTGGAGCCACCTGGGGACAGCAAGGGATGTCCTGGCCACACAAACTGCAAAGGCCACTGCTTTTGTTTTTTTCATTTGAAGTGTGGAGGAAACATGATAAAAATGGAAATGACCATTTTGTCAACCAAGAGGTTGACCAAACTACCAACTGAGACTTTGATTTAAAACTTGGGTAACTCACAAGCAATTGTGGTAAACTGAGGCCCATTGAGACAGTAGTTTGTGAGAAAATAAAAAATAAGGATTTAATGCCTATTTTTAATAGCCTTAGGGTTAAAGTCCCATAGCACCTGAGGAGGGTTTGGGTTAAATTCCATTTACTTTCTTATTTTTGGCATTTAGTAATTAAGACTCTTTGACATTTGCTATTAAAGCTATTTGGACTATATAAAAGGTGATATGAATGCTGATTTTTAAACACATGTGCTATATTTGCCTTTACTGTAGAATGCTTTAGATAATAAGGATGAACTACATTAGTAGGTTGATATTCCAATTCAATGCATATCATGGAGGGACTCTGTGATGTTCCAGGACCTGCAGCTGCTATTATTATCTGATCTGCCCCATATGCTACAGTGGATATTTGCCCAAACGCATATAAATTTCTCTGCAAGGTCTATTGAATGTCTCTGTTATTTGGAACATAATAATCAAAATGAATTGTTGCTCTGGTGGTAGAATGAATACAAAGGGCTGAGTAATCCACTTGCAGAAACCTGAAATGAAGATGAAAAACATAATAAGAGCCACCCTTAACATTAGCCCTGTGGGGCTTTTTATTAATTGGTCCAGATTTAAGCACAGCTTTTAATCAAATTGGAGGCTTTTACGTCTACATCCCTAGAACTGCTTGTTCATCTCCAAGAACAGTGAATTAAATGTTGAACAGATGTCAGGGAAGGTCCTTTTAAGAGAGCTCATCTTAGGACATTTCATCTACAACCATGTCTTTTAATTAAGGAGTAGAGCCATGCACCTGATCAAGCCATGTCTAGAGATAATTTGCTTTCAATTTTTCGTAGAAGAAGAAAGAGGGATTATCTCCATGCCGTTGATGACACACTTTTGAATCTATACCTGTGTAATTCAAGCCAAAATAAGCACTCCTATGAGAGGTGGGGGGAAGAAATCTTACTCAGACAATGGATTCAAAACACCAGGATAATGAACTGGCCAATAATGTTGATTTTAGTAGGGGTCCTAAAATATTTGGGTTTCAAAAACTCTTTGAAACTTTCTCTCCACAACAATGAAAATATGAAGATGTATATGTTCCAAATCCAAATGAAATGCAAGGGATTTACGGATCCTCGAATGTCTACCCTCTGACTCAAACGTAAGAGCCCCAAGTTAGATATTTTCATAGCAACTAGTGATGTTTCTTTTATAAGCCTCTCTACATCTATTATTGTTGATTTATTGTCTGCCTTTCTGGTTGGCCTATAAGCTCTCCGAAGGCAGAGGCCATGTAATCGGGGCTCCAAACATGATACCCCAAGGCATGGTGCTTTGGATGCTGCATATTTTTGAGGTGAAGGAGAGTGTGAGGGTTACAGAAACAAGATCTCTCTGCCCTTCTCCCCTGTTGGATATAAAAACTAGAACTCCTTTCTCCAGAGAATAAGCCATACAACCTAGGAAGGTCACTGTCTGACCTCATTTATGCTCCCTTGAAGATCCTCTTTTGGCAGGTGTCCTATTCTTAGTGCGAAGGAATGCCATGCAGAGACGCAGAAAAGCATGTGAACATACAGGCCTTGCTAAAGTGTCCCACAGTTCATTACCATTAGATCATACCCCTTTTTGTCAATAACATTTCTCTACAATCATCACTTATTTCATCAGACTTGGTATAAAAATACATCGTTTTCCTGGGGCCTTTGGGTCTTCATTTCTGAAGATTCCCATGTCACATTGAACATTGTTAAGTAAATTTGTCTTTTCTCCTGTTACTCTGTCTTTTGTTATAGGGGTGTCAGCCATGAAGCTTGCAATGGGTGAAAAAAAAAAGATGGGGGGTGGGGAGCTGGGGAGAGATAGCAAGGGGAGAAATGCCAGATGTAGGTGATGGGAAGGAAGGCAGCAAATCACACTGCCACGTGTGTACCTATGCAACAATTTTGCATGTTCTTCACATGTACCTCAAAACCTAAAATGCAATAAAATAAATAAATGGGGAAAAAAAAAAAGATGGCACTTTTTCTTCCTTGCAATCTTTATTGCTGAATCCCCAGCATGTAAAGCAAGGCCCAGGACGTAGGTAGAAGTCAACAAATATTTGTGAAATTATAAGGCAGAATATTTCTCTATTAAGTGTTTAAATTTCTTGTCTAAGACCAAATAATGCTAAGTTAAAAAAAAAAAAAGGAAACAAATTTCCGAAATTAAGAGAAAATTGATTATTCCCAGGCCTCCAATACACATGGTTAACTTTGATTTATCTAATGATAATGAACTCATGGAAAGCAGTGTTTGTAATTATATCTGATTCATTTAGTTTTCTAAATCAGCACTGTTCAAACCTCAGCATGCATAAGAGCTACCTGGAGAGGTTGTGAAAGCATAGAGTGCTGGATGTTACCCTCAGATACTGTGATTCTGGAGGTCTGGGGCTTGAAATTCTGCTTTTCTAACAAGCTCCAGATGATGTTGACAATGCTGGCCCAAGGACTACACTTTTGAGGAGCAAGGTTCTAAATCAGCCTATGAAGTGATTCTAACCATCTCATTTTAAAGATAAGAAATGTTGAGAGTCACATCAGCCCCAGGTAACACAACAGAGCTGGAGATCTGAAGACAGACCATTAGATTCTGGTTTCTGTTTGTGAGCTGTTACTTTAGGGTGCAACTCTACATGTCGGCCAGAAAAGCATCTTCTTTGTATCTGTACTTTGTATTTCTCATAAGAGTCTTCTTTAGGGGATATGACCACAAAGTCATTAAGCTCTTAATTTGTTTTATTAGAGGAACACTGTTATAAGAGCATTAACCTCAATTTTAAAGAAAAAAAGTACATCTCTCTAAATCTCTCAATTTTATCAGAGGTTTCTTTTTGCATTTTTGTCAAGGGCATAGTAATTTATAAATGGATGAAATCCTGGTGAATGTAGAATTTGTGTTCAGTTTTATTTAACATATTGAGCACTTTTCATTAGGTTGCATTTTTCATTAGGTTGCATTATTCTGATGATGGTTAAATAAACATTCTAAGATATGCATGTGCAGCTGAGTGTTATTAGTTCAATATAATTACCTTGAGGGGCTATCAGTCTACTCCATCATAAGGGAGTTACTCAAACATATTTAGAATACCTCTTTTGAAAAATTATCTGATTTAAAATCTCATTTTTATAAAATACTAAATTCAAACTAATTTGTGAGTTCTTTTCTCTTCTATTAGCCCTGTTTTATCCATGTTTTAGAGAACGGGTTTTCTAGAATAGCAGTGTTATTCAGCCTTAATATTGCTTTTGATCATAAAAGGATTAATCTAGTTACCCATAATTATTAAGCTTGCTTGACTCTGAAGGACTTCTGCCATTTCCAAAATATAAATGTATTTTCAGAGGTTCAATACTGGCCATCACCAAGGATGTTTTAAACATGGCCTAAGAGACATTGAGAAGACTTATAGTTTGTGGTGAGGGCGGTTCCCTACTTTATGGTATCACTCCAAAATTGACCTGTAAATCCCTATAAAAATGTACTTTCCTGCTGGGTGCGGTGGCTCACGCCTATAATCCCAGCACTTTGTGAGGCCGAGGCAGGTGGATCACTAGGTCAAGAGATCGAGACCATCCTGGTCAACATGGTGAAACTCCGTCTCTTCTAAAAATACAAAAATCAGCTGGGCATGGTGGCGCAGCCTGTAGTCCCAGCTACTCGGGAGGCTGAGGCAGGAGAATTGCTTGAACCCAGGAGGCGGAGGTTGCAGTGAGCTGAAATCGCGCCATTGCACTCCAGCCTGGGTAACAAGAGCGAAAGAAACTCTGTCTCAAAAAAAAGGAAAAAAAAAGTGCTTTCCTTAGACTAGTCTAAACTTCTTGTGAAAATATAAATATATGTGAATGATATATTCTCATATATTTATGTGAGCAATTCAGTAGCCTAGGTCTTCCAGACTCCATGATGCTACAATAATGAAATTATTTTGGTACAGGGGCATGCATAAAAACAGGGCGAATGAAAGAGAAAAGAGCTCACAAATGAGATTGAATTCACTATTTTATCAGAATGAGATTTTAAATCAGTGTGAATTGATATTTTAGTTTACGGAATTGAGACAATATTAGCTAAATATTTGGAAATAATGCAGAGGATATCTATCTAAATTGCTGTATGGAAAATAAAATCCAGATGGGTAGGAGTGGGGTGAGGGTTGGAAATTCACCTACTGGGTACAATGCACCCTATTCAGGTGATGGGTGCACTAAAAGCCCAGACTTCATCACTATACAGTATAATGCCTTTGTACTTCTCGAATCTATAAAAATATAAAAATAATTTTAAAAACTCAGATGCAGCAAAGATTTGAGCACTTAAATAAAGAGAAACTGTAAAACTACCTAAAGAAAATATGCAAGACTGATAAATTTAACAATACAAAATGTAAACGTTCAGTGTGGCAACAATGGCACACCATAAACAAAGGTCAAAAAAGAAATAACAAACCTGGAAAAAGTATCTTAGCACATAAGAAGAAAGAGTGATTTCCCATAATTTATAAAGTATATACCCAAAGCATTATAAATCATTCTACTTTAAAAACAGATGTACAAGTATGTTTATTGCAGCACTATTTACAATAGCAAATACTTGGAAGCAACCCAAATGTGCATGAATGATAGACTGAATAAACAAAATGTGGCACATATACTCCATGGAATTCTATGCATCCATTAAAAAAGAATGAGTTAATGTCTTTTGCAGGGACGTGGGTGAAACTGGAAACCATCATCCTCAGCAAACTAACACAGGAACAGAAAACCAAACACCGTATGTTCTCACTCACAAGTGGGAGCTGAACAATGAAAATACATAGACAAAGGGAGGGGAACAACACATTCTGGAGCCTGTGTGACTGTTGGGGTAAGGGGAGGGAGGGCATTAGGACAAATACCTAATGCATGCAGGGCTTAAAACCTAGATGACACATTGATGGGTGCAGCAAACCACCATGGCACATGTATACCTATGTAACAAACCTGCACCCTCTGAACATGTATCCCAGAACTTAAAGTAAAAGAATAAAAAAACACTCTTTTAAATTAATAATATAAGCCTAGAACCACAATAGAAAATATACAACAGATAAGACCAAAAAACAGAATTACAAGTAGTCTATAGACCTGTAAAAAGTTGTTCAACATCATTCCTATTAAGTAGAGGCACATTAAAACAAAAAATGAGATTTTTCACCCACCAAATTGGAAGCCATAGAAAGATGTAATAATTTATAGTATTATTAACAATTTGTTGAGAGGGGGTGATTGATCCAAGATGGCCGTTTAGGAACAGCTCAGGATTGCAGCCCCCAGTGAAAGCGCAGAGGGTGAGTGGATGCCGCATTTTTATTGCCCACAGACTAGGAAATTCCCAGGCGGAGGAGCTCCACGGGTCGCCAGCCCGGCTGTTTCGGCCAGCGTGGCTGTGTCAGCTGGCGCCGCTGCTTTGCCCCGCGTGGCAGTTTTGCCCGGGAGCAGTGGTTCTCCGTACAAAATAAACTGGTTTGGGTGCCCCTTTGGATGGTGATTGGAGCCATGGGAAGTTGCCCATTCGTCTGTTTAAAAAGGGGACCGAGCAGGGAACCAGACAGTAGATTCCAGGGCAAAAAAAGCGCCACGAATCTCAGTGCCGCGGTTTAAGCCAGCGCAGTGACTTGCCGAAGGGGAAAACACTCAGACGCCGTGCCTCTTCAACAGGCAACTGGGCAACCAACTTAAAAAAAAAAAAAAAAAAGGCTCTGAGGCACGGAGCCAGCGATCAAGCTCGGCTAGTCTCACTCCCACAAAAGAACAGCAATCAGAAACTCTCTGGATTGAGAGTTTGACAGCAAGCGCACCTGAACCCAGGATGGTCCAGCGCTGTGGGGGAGGGGCGTCCACCATTACCGAGGCAGCCCACACTACGGAGGTAGTCAGCCAATGCTGAGGCAGCCTGCCGTTGCCATGGCAACCCGCCATTGCTGAGGCAGCCCACCGTTGCCAAGGCAACCCGCCACTGCAGAGAGACTCCACCTCAACAGGGGTAGGCCACCATCGCCAAGGCAGTTCTAACTACACCCATATAAACAGGACTGCAGGGAAGTTCACTCGGCAGCTGGGTGGAGCCCACAGCAGCTCAGCAAAGCCTCTACAGGCAGACAGTGACTAGGCTGCCTCCTTCTGGGCAGGGCAGCTCTGAAGGGAAAAAAAAAAAGAAGGCAGCAGCATAACTGAAACTCATAAAGCCCTAAATCCCTGGGACAGAGCACCTGGGAACAAAAAGTGGTTTATGAGTTCTGCTGTAGCAGACCTAAACGTACCTGCCCAGCAGCTCTGAATGAACAACGGAGCTCACAGCTCAGCATTTGAGCTCCTATAAAGAACAGACCATCTCCTCAAGCAGCTTCCTGACCCCTGTATATCCAAAGAGCCACCTCATAAAGGAGAGATAGACTGACACTTGGTGGGTATCTATCTGGGAAAAAGATAGCAGAAGAAGAAAACTGGTAACAACCCTTACTGTTCAGCAGCTGCTGCAGGTGATCCCCAGGCAAGCAGCACCTGGAGTGGACGTCAGCAGACCTACAGCAGAGGAGCCAGACTGTCGGAAGGAAAACCAAGAAACAGAAATAACCTCATCATCAACAAAGAGAACATCCACTCAGACACCCAATCTGAAAGCCAGCAACTACAAAGACGACAGGTGGATAAATCCATAAAGGAAGAAACCAGCGCAAAAAGGATGAAAATGCCCGACACCAGAACACCTCTCCTCCTAAAAGGGATCACAACTCCTCACCAGCAAGGGAACAAGGTTGGATGGAGAACGAGTGTGAGGAAATGACAGAATCAGACTTCAGAAGGTGGGTAGTAAGAAATTTCTGTGAACTAAAAGAGCATGTTCTAACCCAATGCAAAGAAACTAAGAACCTTGAAAAAAGATTTGACGAAATGCTAACGAGAATGAACAAAATAGAAAGGAATATAAGTGAATTGATGGAGCTGAAAAACACAACATGAGAACTTCGTGAAGCTTGCACAAGTATCAACAGCTGAATTGACCAAGCAGAAGAAAGGGTATCTGAGGTCGAAGATCAACTCAATGAAATAAAACGGGAAGGCAAGAATAGACAAAAACGGGTTAAAAGGAATGAACAAAGTCTCCAAGAAATGTGGGACTATGTGAAAAGACCTAATCTACATTTGATAGGCGTACCTGAATGCGACGAAGAGAATCAATCCAAGCTGGAAAATACTCTTCAGGATATTATCCAGGAAAACTTCCCCAACCTAGCAAGGCAGGCAAATATTCAAGTCTAGGAAATACAGAGAACACCACAAAGATATTCCTCAGGACGAGCAACGCCAAGGCACATAATCGTCAGATTCACCAGGGTTGAAATGAAGGAGAAAATACTAAGGGCAGCCAGAGAGAAAGGTCGGGTTACCCACAAAGGGAAGCCCATCAGACTCACAGCAGATCTCTCAGCAGACACCCTACAAGCCAGAAGAGAGTGGGGGCCAATAGTCAACATCCTTAAAGAAAAGAACTTTCAACCCAGAATCTCCTATCCAGCCAAACTAAGCTTCATAAGTGAAGGAAAAATAAAATCTTTGTGAGCATGCAAGTACTCAGAGATTTCATCACCACCAGGTCAGCTTTACAAGAGCTCCTGAAAGAGGCTCTACACATATAAAGGAACAACCAGTACCAGCCACTCCAAAAACATGCCAAATGGTAAAGAGAATCAACACAATGAAGAATCCACATCAACTATTGGGCAAAACAGCCAGCTAGCACCAAAATGGCAGTTCAAATTCACACATAACAATATTAACCCTAAATGCTAATGGGCTAAATGCCCCAATCAAAAGACACAGACTAGCAAATTGGATAAAAAGCCAAAACCCATCAGTGTGCTGTATCCAGGAAAGCCATCTCACATGCAAGGATACACAGAGGCTCAAAATAAAGGGATGTAGGAAGATTTACCAAGCAAATGGAGAGCAAAAAAAAAGGA